ATAAGAAGATGTACACATTGTAATCATAAACTTGAACTATATTTATCCCTTTCATTTTAATAGAAACCAACATTAATAATATAATATATATAGTGTAATATCCTCTTTTAGTTTTAAGCAGTATGATGATACATAGTGTAATATCCTCTTTGTTTTTGTCAATATGATGATATATGGTGAAATATTCCCCCTTTTTAAGACAATATGATGATACATAGTTCACTACCCCCTTTTTGTTTTAGGCAATATGATGATGATACATACTGAAATATCCTCCTTCCTTTTAGACTATAATGATTATATTGGTGTAGCATCCTTTTTTTGTTTTAGGAAATATGATGATACATGGTGTAAAATCCTCTCTTTGTTTTAGGAAATATGATGAAATGTGGTGTAAAATCCTCTCTTTGTTTTAGGAAATATGATGATACAGAGTGTAAAATCCTCTCTTTGTTTTAGGAAATATGATGATACAGAGTGTAAAATCCTCTCTTTGTTTTAGGAAATATGATGATACAGAGGGTAAAATCCTCTTTGTTTTAGGAAATATGATGAAATGTGGTGTAAAATCCTTTCTTTGTTTTAGGAAATATGATGAAATGTGGTGTAAAATCCTCTCTTTGTTTTAGGAAATATGATGAAATGTGGTGTAAAATCCTCTCTTTGTTTTAGGAAGTATGACGATACAGAGTGTAAAATCCTCTCTTTATTTTAGGAAATATGATGATACAGAGTGTAAAATCCTCTCTTTGTTTTAGGAAATATGATGATACAGAGGGTAAAATCCTCTTTGTTTTAGGAAATATGATGAAATGTGGTGTAAAATCCTTTCTTTGTTTTAGGAAATATGATGAAATGTGGTGTAAAATCCTCTCTTTGTTTTAGGAAATATGATGAAATGTGGTGTAAAATCCTCTCTCTTTTTTTAGGAAATATGATGAAATATGGTGTAAAATCCTCTCTTTGTTTTAGGAAATATGATGATACAGAGTGTAAAATCCTCTTTGTTTTAGGAAATATGATGATACAGAGTGTAAAATCCTCTTTGTTTTAGGAAATATGATGAAATGTGGTGTAAAATCCTTTCTTTGTTTTAGGAAATATGATGATACAGAGTGTAAAATCCTCTCTTTGTTTTAGGAAATATGATGATACAGAGTGTAAAATCCTCTTTGTTTTAGGAAATATGATGAAATGTGGTGTAAAATCCTCTTTGTTGTAGGAAATATGATGAAATGTGGTGTAAAATCCTCTTTGTTTTAGGAAATATGATGAACTGTGGTGTAAAATCCTTTCTTTGTTTTAGGAAATATGATGAAATGTGGTGTAAAATCCTCTCTTTGTTTTAGGAAATATGATGATACAGAGTGTAAAATCCTCTTTGTTTTAGGAAATATGATGAAACAGAGTGTAAAATCCTCTCTTTGTTTTAGGAAATATGATGAAATGTGGTTTAAATTCCTCTCTTTGTTTTAGGAAATATGATGATACAGAGTGTAAAATCCTCTTTGTTTTAGGAAATATGATGAAATGTGGTGTAAAATCCTCTCTTTGTTTTAGGAAATATGATGAAATGTGGTGTAAAATCCTCTCTTTGTTATAGGAAATATGATGATACAGAGTGTAAAATCCTCTTTGTTTTAGGAAATATGATGAAATGTGGTGTAAAATCCTTTCTTTGTTTTAGGAAATATGATGAAATGTGGTGATACAGAGTGTAAAATCCTTTCTTTGTTTTAGGAAATATGATGAAATGTGGTGTAAATTCCTTTCTTTGTTTTAGGAAATATGATGATACAGAGTGTAAAATCCTCTTTGTTTTAGGAAATATGATGAAATGTGGTGTAAAATCCTTTCTTTGTTTTAGGAAATATGATGAAATGTGGTGTAAAATCCTCTCTTTGTTTTAGGAAATATGATGATACAGAGTGTAAAATCCTCTTTGTTTTAGGAAATATGATGAAATGTGGTGTAAAATCCTCTCTTTGTTTTAGGAAATATGATGATACAGAGTGTAAAATCCTCTTTGTTTTAGGAAATATGATGATACAGAGTGTAAAATCCTCTCTTTGTTTTAGGAAATATGATGATACAGAGTGTAAAATCCTCTTTGTTTTAGGAAATATGATGAAATGTGGTGTAAAATCCTCTTTGTTTTAGGAAATATGATGAAATGTGGTGTAAAATCCTCTTTGTTTTAGGAAATATGATGAAATGTGGTGTAAAATCCTCTTTGTTTTAGGAAATATGATGAACTGTGGTGTAAAATCCTTTCTTTGTTTTAGGAAATATGATGAAATGTGGTGTAAAATCCTCTCTTTGTTTTAGGAAATATGATGATACAGAGTGTAAAATCCTCTTTGTTTTAGGAAATATGATGATACAGAGTGTAAAATCCTCTCTTTGTTTTAGGAAATATGATGAAATGTGGTTTAAATTCCTCTCTTTGTTTTAGGAAATATGATGATACAGAGTGTAAAATCCTCTTTGTTTTAGGAAATATGATGAAATGTGGTGTAAAATCCTTTCTTTGTTTTAGGAAATATGATGAAATGTGGTGTAAAATCCTCTCTTTGTTATAGGAAATATGATGATACAGAGTGTAAAATCCTCTTTGTTTTAGGAAATATGATGAAATGTGGTGTAAAATCCTTTCTTTGTTTTAGGAAATATGATGAAATGTGGTGATACAGAGTGTAAAATCCTTTCTTTGTTTTAGGAAATATGATGAAATGTGGTGTAAATTCCTCTCTTTGTTTTAGGAAATATGATGATACAGAGTGTAAAATCCTCTTTGTTTAAGGAAATATGATGAAATGTGGTGTAAAATCCTTTCTTTGTTTTAGGAAATATGATGAAATGTGGTGTAAAATCCTCTCTTTGTTTTAGGAAATATGATGATACAGAGTGTAAAATCCTCTCTTTGTTATAGGAAATATGATGATACAGAGTGTAAAATCCTCTCTTTGTTATAGGAAATATGATGATACAGATTGTAAAATCATCTCTTTGTTTTGGGAAATATGATGATACAGAGTGTAAAATCCTCTCTTTGTTTTAGGAAATATGATACAGGTTGTAAAATCCCCTTTTGGTTTAGTTAATGTGATGATACATAATGAAATATCCCCTTTTTAGAAAAAAATGATGCTACATGTTGTAATATCCCCTTTTTGTTTTAGACAGTATGATGATGCATTGTGTAATATCCCCTTTTTGTCTGAGACAGTATGATGAAACATGTTTTGTTTTAGGCAATGTGATAATACATAGTGTCACATTCTTTTATTGTTTTAGGAAATATGATGCTACATGATATAATATCCCCTTTTTCTTATATAGGCAATATGAAAATACCTGTTGTAAAATCCCTGTTAATGTTTTGGGCAATAGGATGATACATGTAACATCCCTATTATTATTTTAGGCAATATGATGATAAATCTTTTAACATTCCTGTTATTTTTTAGGCAATATGATGATACATGTTTTAGCATTCCTCTTATTATTTTAGGCAATATGATGATACATCTTTTAACGTTCCTGTTATTGTTTTAGGCAATATGATGATGCATGTTTTAACAATCCTTTTGTTTTAGGCAATATGATGATACATGGTGTAAAATGTATAGGATCCATGGTGAGAGATGCTCCGTCAGATCTACACATTAAAGCTTTGGAAACAGTCTGCAGCATAACAAAACTTCAGGTTTACTCCATTTATTTTATACAAGTACATAAAGATATAATCTTTAATAGTTGAAATTTGTGTTTATGATGTAAGTTGATGAAAAGATAGAGCAATCTAGGGATTCTTTTTATGTGGATGGATGCAATAGAGCATCTTGTTGCAAGAGGATGTTTTGCTTTTATCTTTTTCAAATTCTTTTAAAGTAACACTAAACAGTTTTATAAGATTGATAACTTTAAATGTTATTTTCATATGTTGGAAAAAATAATCTAGAGAAGAAAGTGATATGGAATAAATTTGAAATAAGAAAAACATGATTTTGCAGATTGCAGAACAAACAGATGAATTACTCAAACTAACAGAGAAGTGGTTTAATTTACTGAGTAACAATCCATTTGAGATGTTAATGTCATTAGTAAGACAACCCTTTCCAGACCTGAGGTGTTCTGCTCACTGTGTTTTACAATCCCTCGCATTACAACCCTGGGGACAGACTAACATGAACAATTATCCAGGGTTTACAGAATTCTTGTTGGACAGAACTACAGAAAAAACTAAAGAAACAAAAGAGTCAAAGTTCTTAATCCTAAAGACACTAGCAGAGTCACCTACAGCGGTTGATGTGTTTGGACAGCCGTATATTGTTCAGGTCAAGGCTATGGTCCTACAAGGCCCTTTCTTTGTTCAGACCCAGTCAGAAGTGGCTTTCGAGGGAGAATAATTAAAAAGTATTTACATATTTTCCTTAGTTGTCCCTGATGAATCATGTTAATAATCTACATGTATTTACACCTTATCAATAAATAATTGGAAGTATTGTGTGGAGTTTTGTGAAATATTATTAGTATACCCTGTGAGGAAGCTGATTACTCAGAGATAGCTCCAGGTACATCTGTATTATCAGATCATCCAAGTTTCATGGGTGACCAACAGTGTCTTGTCTAGTTTATCAGTTTTGTCTGCATTGCTTCATCCGTTGGTGGCAAACTTTTGAACATTTTCAGGTTCTCTTAATGGTTTTCAATTTTATGTAGAATCTTAGGGTGAAGGGGTGCAAAAAGTGAGTTTCATGGTTTTTGATCCTCAGGAGTGAAGACAAATAAATCCTCCAATTTTTTTCTTCTTTACTCCTGGACACAAGAAAAAAACTACTTAAATAATTTATACAAGTCTCAACCAAAATTGTGGTACTCAAGACCTCAGGGGTAGGCCTTGGGAGAAGAGTAAGCAATATATTGAAACTACACCAGAAGACAAGCAGACAAACTGCATGATATAAATACTTGGGTAAAGATAAAAAGTATTGTAAGATTTTACCTTCATTTAATGATATATATACAATTGAATTAATAAATACTAGTGAACAAACACATACTTGTTTCAATGAAGAACATATATTACTTTCAAATAATTAACAAAGTAATAGTTTAATACCGTACTAATATCTACATTGCATAGCAATGAGTTGAAGTTAATTGGTTTCCTGGATCTACAGAGTCTGAGATCCACTAATAATTTGTTCCAACTCAAGCTTTTATGACTCGGCATTAGTTGATAAGCTATAAGCAATGTTTGTTAATTTTTGGAATTCATAGGCTAATATCTCCGTCGTGGTGAGCATCAATGACCAAGATGTACAATGTACACTAGTTCCTGCTCTGGTCTGCTTCCAAATCAGGAATATATATGTAACTATCCACTCTGAAGTTTTGAAAAAATCAAAGTATGAACACAAAAGTTAGTCACAGTCAAACTGTTTTGCCAAAGAAGACCACGACCTGACATCATTATCTGGTTCTCCCTCTGATGAAGCCTTTAACTGGTCTTCTTTTTCTGCCTTGTCAAGGTCAACTTCACTATCACTGTCATCCAGATGAGCTTTCCAGTAGTTAAATAGCCTTAAGTTGAAGTACAGGGATATCATCTTCTGACCTGAAAATAAAAAAAAATGGCAGTGTATGTTAGTAACAAGAGGCCCATGGGCCATTCACTCATCTAAGTAACTTTAGCCCTGTTGTTCTTCAGATTTTAGATTTTCCCCCTCTTTATTTCCATGATAAAATTGTGGCCCTGTATTGTGTCCTCGCTCTAATTCTAAGGGTCTATGAATCCACACATCATGGAGATGCATCAATACCAGTACGACCAATATTTCCTTGCTATTATGGAGAAGAAAATTTTATTTCCTCATAACATGTATTATGTAAAAATTGATCCCTGATTCATCTCTAGGCTAACCCATGGTCCATAAATTGAAAGAACAAGATGTGTTTGTGAAACATTGATGCCCCCGTATGGCAACTTATGGCGAAGGTCAAAGTTTCTCATATGCAAGTCAAACTCCAAGGTCAAGAGATCATAAATGTTGTTATCCAAAGAAAGGACTTGTGTCAGTGGATATACCTGGTAAATATGAAAGCCCAAGCACCAACCATTCAAAAGTTATGGTCAAGGTTGATGTTTTCTAAAAGTTAGTCAAACTCCAAGGTCAAGGGATCAAAATTAATGGTATGCAGGGGAAGACCTTATCATAAAAAATACACATGCAAAATATAAAAGCCCATTGCACCAACTGTTCAAAAGTTATGGTGAAGGTTAATTTTTTTAAAAAGTAGGTCAAACTCCAAGGTCAAAGGTCATTGTTGGTGTCCAACGGAAAGTATTGTCACAAGAAATATACCTGTGAAATTTGAAAGCCCTAATACTAATTCAAAATTAAGTTATGGCCAAAGTTAAAGTTTTTTTAAAGTAGGTCAAACTCTAAGGTCAAAAGGTCAAAATTGTTGGTTTTCAAAGGAAGGTCTTGTCACAAGGAATAAGCCTGTGAAATTTGAGAGCTCTAGTATTAAGTGTTCATAAGTTATGGCCAAGTTTAAAGTTTTTTAAAAGTGGGTCAAACTATGGTCAAGGTCAAAAGGTCAAAAATATTTAATCCATGGAAAGGTCTAGTCACAATGAATACACATTTGAATTATGAAAGTCCTAGCACCAACTGTTCAGAAGTTATGGCCAAGGTTAAAGTTGGGTAAATTTTTGCAAAAGTGGGTCAAACTCGAAGGTCAAGAGGTCAAATACATGTATGTTGGTATCCAAAGAAAGGTCTAGTCATGATGAATACACATGTGAAATATGAAAGTCCAAGCACCAACTGTTCAAAAGTTTTAGCCAATGTTAAAGTTGGGTAAATTTTTGCAAAAGTGGGTCAAACTCCAAGGTCAAGAGGTCAAATATGTTGGTATCCAAAGAAAGGTCTTGTCACAAGAAATACACATGTTGTAAACTTTGTTTTCCGGAATTTATATTTCCGCGCTCTGAATAAAACACAAAGGTTAAAGTTTTTGCGGACAAACAGACAGACAGATGGACAGACCGAGCAAAAACTAGATACCCCCAAATCTTTGATAACGGGGGCATAAAAAAATGAATCCACATAACTTCAGAATGTTAATTACTGATTTTAATACAGTGGCTTCCATTTTATCGGATAGCGGTTTAACGAATATTTCGGCTATTTCAATATAATATCAGAGCACAAAACCATTTCTTATATATTTATTAATAATTTCACCTGATATTCTGATGAGAAAATATTGGAATTTCGTTTTATCCGATACAAAAAATTGGACTATCATAGTAATTCTTGAGAAGATTTTTAAAGATTTTTTCTTTATATTCCCGTGTAAAATTTTGATCCCCTTTTGTGTCCCCGCTCTTCCCAGGGGCCAGGATTTGAACAATTTAGAATCAGGAAGCTTGCATATAAGTTTCATCTTTTCTGGCAAAGAGGTTTTTGCAAGGCTTTTTAAAGATTTATTCCCTTATAATCCGATGTTAAACTTTGATCCCCTATTGTGGCCCCTCCCTATCCCTGGGGGCCATGATTTCAACAATATAGAATCAATGCTATCTCTGAAAATTTTCATCTTTTCTGACTCAGTGGTTCAGATGCCAGACAACAGGTGATCAGAAAAGCTCACATGAGCTTACAGCTCAGTTGAGCTAAAAAAAAAAAGTGTGGCTGAATGCTAATTAAATGTAATTTTTTAGCCTATTACAGCAAAAGGCGAATGGGATATCAAAAACTTTCTGGCATCCATCAGTTTGTGCAACTCTTGTTTGTCATCTGAAACTTTGCACTTTTCCTTCATTTTTGCCAAAATCACTCTGCCAATTTCAAACAAATTTATCACAAAGCATTCTCAGAGTTAGGGGATTCAGTAAATAAACTCAATTGCTAAGCACTCATACACGAGGAGGTACATGCAATTTCAAATAAATGGTTCAAAATGTGAAGAGACATTTAAAAACATTCACAAGAACCATTGGACCAGACAAGACAACAAACTGGTGAGAGCTTTGCTCAAGTCAGGGATTACTGTATTTTGCCTTGATTAAGTATAATGGAATCTTTTCTCTTAAAAATTTACCCATTTTTGTTACAAATTACAAAAAATATCATACCCTTGTCGGATTGATCGTCATTTGCCGAAATTCTGACCATGTTAGATTGGACAATTCGTTGAATAAATCGCACAACCTAGAAATAATGAGAAATCGTACGTCACACAAAATAGAAAGAATGAGAAATCGTATGTCATTGATGAAAAAATTCTTGGAAACCAGGAAAACACCTTATAGACGTATTTTCTCGGTTCTAGAAATTAGTTTGAAAACTGACGGCTCATACTTCTGTTGCAGTGAATTTTTTGATATATAACTATCACTGGCTACTTTTTTTGCGCATGTTGGGAAAGGTCTTCCTTTCTTAAACAAGAGGCCAAGGGGCCACATCGCTCACCTGAGCACTGTGGCTAGGAAAAGAGGAAAAATCTGTTTAGTATTGAAAAGCTTAAATGCATAAGTGGTCCCAACCTACCCCTTAAAGGGAGTGAGGGGTATGATTTGAACAAAATTAAATCTACACTAACTAAGGATGCTTACATAATTTTTTGACTAACTGTGACTTTTTTCTCTACAAGTTTGAACTTTCATTGTGGCCCCACCCTACCCCTGGAGGTCATGATTTGAACAAACTTGAATCTACACCACCTGAGGATGCTTCCATATAAATATGACCAATCATAGCTTTGCTGTTCTTGAGAAGAAGATTTTTGAAGATTTTTCCTCTATATTTCTATGTAAAATTTGATCATCCATTGTGGCCCCACCCTACCCCTGGGGGTCATGATTTGAACAAACTTGAATCTACACCACCTGAGGATGCTTCCAAATAAATATGACCAATCATTGCTTTGCTGTTCTTGAGAAGAAGATTTTTGAAGATTTTTCCTATATATTCCTACATAAAACTTTGACCGTCCATTGTGGCCCCAGTCTACCCCCAGGGGTCATGATTTGAACAAATCTGAATCTACACCACCTGCAGATGCTTCTATATAAATATTACCAATCATAGCTTTGCTGTTCTTGAGAAGAAGAATTTTTGAAGATTTTACCTATATACATGTACTCCTATGTTAATTAAAACTTTAATCTTCCATTGTGGCCCCACCCTACCCCCGGGGGACATGATTTGAATAAACTTGAACCCACATCATCTGAGGATGCTTCCATATAAATATGACCAATCATAGCTTTGCTGTTATTGAGAAGAAGATTTTTGAAGATTTTTCCTATATACACCTATGTTAAACTTTGATCGTCCATTGTGACCCCACCCTACCCCTGGGGGTCATGATTTGAACAAACTTGAAACTACACCATCTGAGGATGCTTCCATATAAATATTACCAATCATTGCTTTGCTGTTCTTGAGAAGAAGATTTTTGAAGATTTTTCCTATATATTCCTACGTAAAACTTTGATCGTCAATTGTGGCCCCAGTCTACCCCCAGGGGTCATGATTTGAACAAACTTGAATCTACACCACCTGAGGATGCTTCTATATAAATATGACCAATCATAGCTTTGCTGTTCTTGAGAAGAAGATTTTTCCTATATATCCCTATGTAAAACTTTGATCGTCCATTGTGGCCCCACCCTACCCCCGGGGGTCATGATTTGAACAAACTTGAATTTACACTACCTGACAATAATTCCACATGAGTTTCATCTTTCCTGGCCCATTGGTTCTTGAGAAGAAGATTTTTCAATAATGCCATTAATTTTTTGCTATTTCGTAATTATCTCTCCTTGGAGGGGGGCGTGGCCCTTCATTTGAACAAACTTGAATCCCCTTCACCCAAGGATACTTTGTGCCAAGTTTGATTGAAATTGGCCCAGAACTACTGGAGAAGATGAAAATGTGAAAAGTTTACGACAACAACGACGACGCCGACGACAGACAACGGACAAATTTCTATCAGAAAAGCTCACTTGAGCCCTCGGCTCAGGTGAGCTAAAAACGATGTATTTTATGATAACTTTTTTTTTTTTTTTTTTTTTTTTTTTTTTTTTTTTGCATTTTAAATGTTCTCTTTTGGAGGTGAAAAAAATCAACATTACGCAATTTTATCAATTGTTGGTGCCATATGGTTTATTGATTCATACCAACGTTTTGATCTTCTTATGTAATTACCGAAATATATGATCAAATCACGAAACATCAAAGTGAATATTGAGAAAGGATTCACGTTGCAAACGACAAAATCCATCCAGAGAAAAAATTACGATCATCAATATTTTATAAGTATCAGAGCTTTAAATGACGTCAGCAAAAACTAAACAATTCGTTTACCTCCAAAATACATGATCTCCAAAATGAAGGACTTTTTAAGAGGGATTTAATTATTTTTGTTATACTTTTAAAAATTGGTTTCTATATAAATCTATGCTTTAAAAAGATTTACTTAGCGGTCAAAAAAAAAATCGATGTTTGACCGCAGAGTGAGATAGTGGACCTATCGATGAGATACCGGTATTGGACCGCTTACGTCACACTGGGCGGGATCAGCTAAATCTTATTTGCATTCGTTATGTTCGACAGTAACGGAATTGACCAAGTTTTACCGCAATGCGGGTAAAGGAAATTTACATGATGGAAGCCAGCACAAGATACATGTATGTCAAAAAAGTATAACAAAACATTTATCGACAGTGTTCCCGGGCAGTATGCGTTTTGTTGACCCCTAGAACCAAACTGTTTGCCTGAGGACGTTAGTTTTTGGGTCCGACAAAACGCATGTTGCCCACAACCCCAGTCAATCAATGGGTATCTATGACACTCATTCCGTGGCTCTACCATTCACAAAAATGAACTAAACATAACTTAAAGAACTGCAAACGATAGTATTGTTCTGCCGCCTACCTCCAAGTCAAATTTCAAACATAATATATTTGAATAGTTTTTCATATTTATAACTCATATAACTCTTTAATTTTGGTAAAAATTAAGTTTTTTCACTATAGAAATCAATGGAAAATATTTTTAAAATATCTCCCCCTGTGAAACAAAAATTCCTTTTTATAGGTTTTATGAATTGTAATTCACAAATTCATACCAAAGCTTTAGTTGTTTCATCCGAGGGGGGGGGGGGGGGGGTATGTTTACAGACAAAAAAAACCTGCATAAATGTTCATTTTATTACCAGTTTCAAATGAGATTACAAATAAAATAAGGTCTTTTATCAATGTTTTATGTTTAATTTTACATAAGTTAAACACAGCTTTTCCCAAAACAAAGAGAAAGAGGGAGAGAATTTTTGCTTCAACACAAGTTACTAGTTTTATCTATCATCTGCATAAAGCTTAAGTGAGCTGATTTTGTCTGTGTGAGAAAACCAATACTTATAGCCCCCATTATAGGTGTCTTTAACGTTCAATAGGTGTCTTTGGTATTTGACTTGAAAGCATGCACAATTAATTTCTTCCACAAAATTTCTACCGTGTAATTATCTAGAAAGGTTCATTTTTTTTCTGTTTTCCTTTTTTTCCTTGACAGATGATTGACATTTTTGTTTGACGGATAAATTACCTCCATAACTATTTTCTCTCATCCGCCGACAGATAGAATGACATTCGAGTTATTTCCGTATCCCATTCCAAAAATCTAATGGCTGGCATCAGAAACCATTGATGTATATCGACCGAAATGTCGAGGAGGAGAAAGTTTCTATATAATTTTCTTACAATAATAAAACACTAGTACTCTTTCAAACGCGGAGTGTCTGTATTTAAGAGATTCCCCCATGCTATTTCTGCATGCTCTATGATTGATGAAAAATAAGAGCATCGAGATTGATGACTAATGTAGAGAATTTTTACCTCTCTGCCTTGAAAACTCTCCTCAAGGGAACATCCAGAAATATGAATGGCCGACTCTGTCTGCTCAATTTTACTAACATAACTGCTTAATGTTCTCCAAAACCTGAAAAAAGCCCTAAGAAGTATTATACTGAAATTTAGCATGCGGATATTAGCACTAAAATGCAAATAAGGATCAGCTACTGTCGAGCCTCGTTCAGCCGGGTACTTGTCCGAAAGGTAAAGCGTCCGGATCATCGTCATCCGAAATTTCAAGGTTCGACTGTAAATATTTTGAATTATCAAAAACAGAAAGGATCTTATCCTGAAATATTTTGATTGTTAATCGCAATGCTCCTTTCAATTAAATTCCTATGCTTTATAAAGTTCTTTCTTACTCTCTAACACATTTGTAAGACTCCTTCTTTAGTTTCTGAGGTGTGACGGCAAATTTCCTGAGGATGTACAAATAACCTGGACCACCCTGTCAATGAAATAATCAGAAGTACTAAGCAGGTAGCCATTATACACTCTGTAAAAGTTGAAAGGTAATTATTGAAACTTTCTTTAGAAAATATTCTCAAATTTTCCTATATTTCTTAGACTAGGACAATTAACAGATGCAAAAGACCACAGCGCTAGTCTTTTTTCTGTCCAAGATGATTAGAATTTTCCGCGTCTAAATGTTCACTTACATTTGAACCACATACAAAATCACAAAAAATCTCGATAATTAAAATGGTAGTCCAATTTTATTGCAGACTGATTTAAACATGAGAAATTTTGAATGTGCCTTATTTTTTTTCTTTCTTGAAAATAACAAACTTTATTCAATTGATTGCAAAAAAAAAAAATGTTTTATTACCTGACATAACAGGAGTATAGACTTCGCTTTACATCCAGATTTGATGCTTTCAAGTTTACTTGATATCATTTCTACAAATCAGAAAATTTACAATTAAATAAATTTTTAATCGAATTCCATAATAATGTAATAATTTACAAAAGTTCAATCAATACTAAGCGATATACCTAATATTTCATTGAAAGATGCCACTTCGAAATCCTGCAATGTGAAATAAAAATAATTTAATAATAATGGCCAAGGTTAAAGTTTTTTAAAAGTGGGTCAAACTCAAAGGTCAAGGTCAAAAATATTTACACCAATTAAAAGGTCTTGTCACGATGATTACACATGTGAAATATGAAAGCCTTAGCACCAACTATTCAAAAGTACTGGCCAAGGTTATTTTTTTCAAAAGTAGGTCAAACTCGTAGGTCAAGGTCAAAGGGGCAAAGTTGTTGAAATCTAAAGGAGGAAAGTCTTGTCACAAGGATTAAAAATGTGAAGTATGAAAGCCCTAACATAACCTATTCAAAAGTAATGGCCAAGGTTATTTTTTTCAAAAGTAGGTCAAACTCCTAGGTCAAGGTCAAAGGGTCAAAGTTGGTGAAATGTAAAGTAGGAAAGTCTTGTCACAAGGATTAAATATGTGAAGTATAAAAGCCCTAACACAAACTATTCAAAAGTAATGGCCAAGGTTAAAGTTTTACACAAGGAGGTCAAACTCCAAGGATAATGGGCTTCAATTGTTGGTATCCAAAGGAAGGCCTTGTCACAAGAAATTCACATATCAAATATGAAAGCCCTAGCAGCAACTGTTCCAAAGTTATGGCCAAGGTTAAATTTTTCCAAAAGTTGGTAAAATTCCAAGGTCAAGATCAAAGGGTCAAAGTTGTATCCAAAGAAATGTCTTGTTACAAGGATTACATATGTATTGTATTTACCAGGTATATCCATTGACGCAAGTCCTTTCTTTGAGTAACAACATTTTTTATATCTTGACCTTGACCTTGGAGTTTTAATTGCTTTTGAGAAAATTTAACCTTCGCCATAAGCTGGGCATACGGGCCGGGGCATCAGTGTTTCACAAACACATTTTGTTTAATTTTTAGAAAGTTGTAAGATACGTTACGTCTTTATACTCGTATATATACTCATACAAAAAGAATTAGATACTAGTATTCGTAAAACTGATGAAACGATAGGAAAACAGTATCGCGTTAACAGGATGCTAACTTATGTTCCCAAAGAGACAGTTTGAAGCACAGGGTTAATCGATCAGAATGTCTTAACATATCCATGCTGGAAAAAGTAATATCATTTGCGAAGAAGTTTTTTTTCTTTTCGTTTCCACTCCTTCGCAACGCTCTTGAAATTGAAACTTAAAAAAATCATCTTTGTTGAAATTTATTTAGCAATACTGCCTTTATAAAAACATCTTGACAAACAAACCCAAAATTGACAACCAAAACAACAGCAACCACGTGAACAGAAAAATCATTAAAAATCAAATCAACAATGGGAAGCTTACTAGTATTTTCGACATTGAGATGCAAAACTTGAAATGATGACATTTCCCCTGCGTTTACCAATATCGTTGTATGTGCGCGCGTGCATTTGTGTCCACTATAATGATCCTTTGCTAGAACCAACCACTTTTAGAAGGTTAAGAGGGTTTTATTGAATAGTTAAAAACGTCATATATTTCACCAATTTCCATATTTCTTTTAGTCAACGAGTCCTCAACTCAAATACAAACTAGATATCATTGAGATGGTGGCCATCTCAAAGGGCCCCGCTTTCAGCAACGAACACGAAAAAGTAAAGTAGCTGAAAAGGGTTTACATGTATTTTGAAGAGGAACACTTGTGTACAATTAAGTACTATTAAGGGATGTGTTGTTTGAGTCTAAAGGGCTTCTATGTCATCCTTGTTATAATAAAAAAATGGCATGAAAATCACGAGTGCTCCATACCCTGTATCAAAAAGCGGCACAAAAATCACAAATGTTGCATATCCTCTATGAAAACTGTTGCATATATATCAAAATATGGAAGGAAAATCACAAATGTTCTGTACCCTAAGTCAATTGGTAAAGTTTGAGGCTGACTGGACTTAAGAGAAAGAAACCATGCACCGAACAAAGATTTTAAACAGAGAGGCTATTTTTGACCTTGACCCTTGACCTAGAAACTTCGTTCAAGGTCACTGCACATCCATTGACCAGTGGCACTCTGAGAGTGAAGTATGAGCCACATTGGATCAAAAGGAGAGAACGAGGATTTTTCATATAATTCTGATATGACCTTGACCTTAGACCTAGAAACATGGTTCAAGGTCACTGCACACTCTTTACCAAAAAGCCCTTTGTGGGTGAACTATGAGCCAGATTGGACCAAGGAGAGAGATATGCTCCGGACAAGAATTTAAACAGAAAGGCTATTTTTGACCATGACCCTTGACCTAGAAACTTCGTTCAAGGTCACTGCACATCCATTGACCAGTGGCACTCTGTGAGTGAAGTATGAGTCACATTGGACCAAGAGGAGAGAAGATATGCTCCGGACAAGGATTTTTCATATAATTCTGCTATGACCTTGACCTTAGACCTAGAAACATGGTTCAAGGTCACTGCACACCCTTTACCCAAAGACACTCTGTGGGTGAAGTATGAGCCAGATTGGGCCAAGGAGAGAGAAGATATGCTCCGGACAAGAGATCTCGGACGGACAGACGGACGGACGGACAGACTGATCACTATAGGGCGCCCGCAGAGCGGGGCCCTAATTAATTTTAGTTGTAACAGGTCTTAAACCAATAACACCGAGATTTTGTAACTATACCTGGACATCTGCGCTTTGATAAAACGGTAAAATACGACTATAGATGAATAGGAATCATTGAGGATGTCTATCTAATGTAGATAGAAAAAGACCAGATAATCGTAAAAAAGGATTGAAGTGATAACAGGCAATGCAGATTTATGTAGTTTTAATTAACCTTTTTGTCTGCTCCCTCATTGTAATTCATTATATAAAACTAAAATAAATACTCACATAAACAATATGTACAACATTTTGAGTCAATAACATTTTTGGTATCACATGATGTTTCGGAATTTTGGAGGAGATGAGCTACAATAAAGAAAACATCAGTGGAAATATTTCGCTGACTGTACGATGATATTTAAGTTATTGACAATCAATAACCAATATCATGGTTGGTGTTATTTTATTTAGATCGCCATAGAATTGATTAAGTTTGTTTCAATTTAACGTTTGTTGACAAAATTAGGGAATCTCAAATGTACTTTTATTATTAGATTTCAGAATATTGATGAACGCATCAATCTAATAAGCTAGCAGGATTTCCTTTATTAAATGTACTTTAGGATGGCTTAAATACTCAGATTAGCTTGAAATCACAACAGAATTTTTATGTTGCATAATGTGGCCATTTCATCTATAAAATATTTCCATTAAAATTAGCAATGTTTTTAGATTATAAATCGTTTAAGGCCCATCAACCTCACGTTCACTCACATAAAATACAGCTTTTTACGTTAATTGTTTTCCAAAAGGAATCTATCACTGAAATGCACACAATTTCAGCATTTTAGCTTGCGGTCACAAGTGGCCTTTCGGCATTACAATTTATAAAGAATCAATAGTCATTTATCCGGGGAAAAGTTACCTTACCTCTCTCATAAGTGGGTCAGTGAACCTTAACTATTAATCATTTGCTGCAAAAACAATGATTTTATTTGTATTGGATATATACACTGACCACTAATCGGGGTGGTTCGAAATTGCTGCCCACCAAAGCTTTCTCAAACTGCTGTTCGGAGAGCCATTTTACTTTTTCTACTTCTGTAAGACAAAACTGGAACGGTTCCTCTAAGTCTGGTTCCACTGTGGAAAAAAAGGCTTCATTTTAATAGAGTTGTACAGCTATTTAAGCTCCACAGTCTATTCATCTTTGCAAGCCAACGGTTTTCGGTCCGTTAAGCGGAAGGGGTCGAAAACCTTTAACTGGTTTGCAAAGAGGAGAGTTTGATGAATACTGAGAATTTTTCGCCTCGTTTTAATTTCGCCCAGATAATTTCACTCTTTTGCGAATCCAGATTTGTGTACCTGATATAAATAAGTCTTGTCTCGTGAATCGCTATCTAAAAAGTTATCATTTAAGAGAAAAAATATGCCTCTAATTTCTTATTTCAATTCATTAATCTAATGAGGAGTACGAAATTAACATGAGACATATAATTGTTCCAGAATTATTTTTAATACGACATATGTTTATAATGTACATTTTTGAAGAAATCCCCTGAAATACTTGTTTTATTTAAATGACGTCTATTATATGCAATGTTCGAAAAAGCAGATATTGGGCTATTCAGAATAGAGTCATCTTAATTATGTAATCAATATTGACTCCTATGGGAACAATTGCTCTGCCTCTTCATGTTTTTTTTTTTTTATAAATTGGAAAGCTTACACAAAATGCGAGGTAATTCTACACCTACACCCGGCACCTGATGTATAGCTAATGGGTTGAAGGTGCCCGTCTCTAAGGTACTTTTGCCCACTTAAACGCAAATCCATTGGTGTCTATATATCTACTTGAACTGTTGACAAGAATTCTCTAATATAATGCAATGGTAGCCTAATACTTATGCTTTTGTATTTAACTGCAAAGTTCATAAATTATTCATGTTAGACCGATTCTAAATTGTCCTCTAAAATGTCACGTGATATTTAACATTTGTTAATTAACATTAAAAACAATAGAAATTCTCAGGTGGGAATAAACTTCATTTGCAAAACAACCGAGCAGTCACACCATGTTTTCCATACGAAACTTTTCATGATGAAAGTCGTTCAAAATTTACACTAATTGAATCTCATAAATAGATGGCATGTATGCTAGATCTAATTAATGTTTTTAATAAGCGCGATCCATAATAGAAAAAACTACATTGAATGTGTGCTGCTGAACTAATGGTCCATTTAGGTTGTTTCTGATTTCGTGTACATTAATAAAAGCTTTTTGTTCTTTGTTGCAGGGATTTATCACTCTGTTTTTTACTAAAAAAATAATCCTACACATCTACTCACTTTGCCAAAAAATTTTAGCAAAGTGATTAGATGTGTAGGATTATTTTTTTTCTATATACATATATAATGACTGAGTTTTTCAAAGTATTCTCCTACAATTCTCTTCAGAAGATGAACAAAGAAAGTTGGCCTTTTATACTTACATAAATAAACACAGATATACAGTTTTTAAATAAAGATTCTATCATGTTATCAACAAACACGAAAAGTGTTTATAGTTTGGGGACGCGAGAGAGAGAGAGAGAGAGAGAGAGAGAGAGAGAGAGAAAGAGAGTATATAAATGTATGAAAAGAGTATGGTTACTTAACCTGGAATGTAAAGTTCATACAAGCCCTGGGATTTTAGGATGTTTATGAATGGATATTATTTTTTTCCTTTATTTCTTCTGAAAACCACTGATTGTTTTTTTTTTTTTATTTAGCTATATCTGTTTGAAAGATTTCTTAAGATGTGGGATCTCCGATTAATACAATGTACAGACCAATAATGCAATATTTTACGTACTTTCAACCACATTATACGAATAATTTATACAGATATAAACAATAAAATTTCTTTGTGTGTTTGTTAATGTACATTGCAGAAAAAAAAAAATTAAAACCCATTTATTATGCATTTTTCGGATTTCCGACGTTTCGGTATGAGCATCATGGAAGACTAGAGACACAATTTGTCGAAATGCGCATCTGGTGCATCAAAATTGATCCGTATAAAATTAACATTATGACCCCTGGGTCAAGGCCTCTGCTGGTGGACTATTAGTCACCGGGGGTCTCTACAGTCCAGTAGCTAAGTACATCGGCACTAGCTTGAAAATACCGATATACATGTATATTTAATTGCTGTTGTAAAATTCATAAATTTATTTCAAAATTAAAGATTATCTCCTTATGCATAGCTCTGATCCTTCAACGTATTTGGCTCCAGTCTTTGACACCCTCCTTTTTCAGCTCTTCCAAGTTATTTTTTAATTTAAATATTTCGGATTTCCATCGTTTCGGCATGTGCATCACTGAAGAGACATAATTTGTCGAAATGCACATCTAGTGCATCAAATTGGTACCGTATAAAATTAACATTCTAAAAGTAACAACCGTTACCCCCTCATTAATAAACAATTAAAGCATTCTTTTGTTCAAGACATTAATTTCAAGATTTAAGCTTATCGCAGAGAGTTAGCTGCAGAACTGTAGCGTTATGGTTTTATACTTTTGTCTTTGACCATATGGTTTTATATTTTAGTCTTTGACCATATGGTCATAGACTAAAATATAAAACCATAACGCTACAGTTCTCCATCTATCGCAATCTGAACATATCACAATAATTCTCATATCGTTGGATGAGCTTTAGACTTATTTTGGCAAATCTCGACTGCACCTTGCATTAGATGGAATCAAAAGCTACGGAGTCAACCAAGGTTAAACATGAAAAAATATTGATTAAGAAATGGTTTACATTATTTTCTCGGGTAGCCTATGCATTGAAAGTTGTAAAATAAGAACTCCTTTAAAACAAAACTCTCGCCATCAGATTTATTACACATTCTTACTATGAGGGAATGCTCATCTTTTCTTCTGATATGACACCAACTCGTATAAAGACGGGGGTCGAAATTCATGCTTTAATTAAAAAACATTTAACATACTAATCATTATGCTAACAAGTGTGAAAAATATTATAGAAGGAATTTCAATGCAGCTTCTGAATTTAAGGGAAAATGCTAAAATCTATTCACCGACGCAATATATAATTTGCGGGAAATGTCGGGGACCTAAAAACATTAAAATGCAGGTGTTGTACATGTATCAATCTGCAGCAGAAACATAGAATATCTTTTAACAATGAAATTATAAACGATCTAATGGTATGAAATCGATGTTAGAAATTCTAAAAAAAATGTAAACAGTGCGGAGCAGACGATGGTTTTCCACAGAACATGCAAGTTAATAAACATGCATGGTGGCAGTATCCATCCCCAAAATCATATTTTGCTGATAAAAAAATAATCTTATATCAATGGTGCTAAATGCAAATTTTGAATAAAGTATACGTTGTATTTTTGGAAAGGGAAAATTAAGGGAGGGGTCAAATTTCTTTTCCGGAGGGGAAAACCCTGATCACTATAGAGATAATATAATAAGTGATTTACCTTACTTTGTATTTTAATTTTTATTTATTTGCCATATTTTTTTTAATAGCTAAAAACCATGCATTGTACTACCTAATCTTTTGAATAAAGTGCGTGACAAGGTTTGTTCGGATTTGAATTTATCAGCATCCCTTGACGTTTTAGCTTGATATCAGTAGAGATTTATTATTTGCAATCAAAGTTCCCAAAATGACCAGATTTCATTGTCAACAATCAGTTGATATTAGTCATTTTAAATATCAAAATCAGAGTTAAGATAAAAAAAATTGCATTTTTTTCAAAAATACCCTGGAGTAGAATATATCAATAATTTATATTAAAACATCGTTATTTTTTAATTTACCACGAATCAGCAAAAGCAAAATTTACGATATAACAACTGATTCAAAATTCGCAGTACAACACTTTAAATTGGCTCAATTCTTACCTGGAGGTTCTACGATAGGTTCCGTAATCATTTCATTGACAGGTGGTGCCTCCGTCCAGGGCTTAGGTCGCTGATGACGTTTCTCTCTTCTGACCGTGACGTCGTGGCAGCATTCACACTCTGTCGAATGTTCACTGGTCGCCTCGGTATCGCCGAGAACCAAACGCGGCAGGAAGCTCTTTTTGGATTTTTGGTTCTTGGGTTCTGTGCTTGTTCTTTGAGATCTGAAAACAGACCAATGCTTCAACCTTAAAACTATACTGATACTATACGCAACTCCAAGTATTGGCTCATCATACCCACGCAAGTTGTCACTTTAATTTGTTATACCATATGCTCGTCAAGATTAATCCAAACACCTAAGAGTCCTTCGTCTCTTTATGAACTACGTAAACGCTCTAGTTTTGAAGTCCAGGAAACTTAGATGACAGATGATTATAAATTCTAATAAACATCCGATATCAATTTGGTTATTTGTATTCATCAGAACCTTTTGTTTGTAGAGTCAATTCTGCAATATTTGTTTTACCGATCTCAGATCTCAAAAGCGATTTCCACATTCAGAAACAGGTCCTACATCTAATGAAGCTGCATTCAATCTACTGGTTATTTAACCGTCGCGATTATTTGGAGCAATGTTATAATAAACTTGGTAGTAAATTCCGACAATTAAAAACGCTAAGTGTTGGTCGCTTTGATTGTCCTGTTGAATCAGTTAATTAATTAATATCACCACTAGTCATGTAGAGGAGCACCCTGTTTTAATATCATAGCAATATTCAATATATAAATGACGTCGTAATCCTATGTTGCAATAAATTATTGTTGCAACTAAGAGTGAATACAATTGGGTTTTTTTTCTCTCCTGGTAATATAGGTGTTACTATTGCTAAAGAATACACATATATAGTCAGATAGAAGCTGGAAAAGTCATTAACCTAGAATAGATTTTATTGATTTCTATCCCTTCTCTCAATCTATAGTAAACATAAACTTATTCCTTCCAGGAAGCGGTGCGACAGGAAATTATAAAATGTCAAATAATACAGTTAATTTGTCAAATTGTTCAGAAGAAATCCCAATAATACTGTAAAAACCAGCAGAAGCCTTCTCCGTAATAAAAAAACAGCCTATACAAAAATAAATACCAGCGACAAGTTAACCAAGTGTGCTTATAAATCGTGAAACTCTGATAATGCACATTTGAATTTACTGGGTCGTGTAAATGGAAATTTTTAAATATGATAACAAGATATCTTTTTGTAAGTTTCTGATTTACATTCACCTCGTAAATTCAAAATTTTGAAAATATATGTACATTTGATTTTTTTGTTAATAACAAAAGAGCTGTTGAATACAAACTCGATATTAGTAGGACAATATTGTTTGTAGGTTCTATTTTAAAAGTCTTTCCTTTACACTAGTATATTCCGATTGACATCTTTCATCGTTGAAGCAATACAAAGCGTGATCTATGTCGAAGGACTGCTGATTAATTTACAAACTGTAAACGTGTATATGTCTTGACTATATAAATAATCTTAATAATGAGATTGATTTTAATTTTCCAGAGACTTATGTTTGTTTAATTGCTATGTCTGTGGTTATATAGGATTGAATATGACGTTTATTTTTTTAGCATGTATGAGAGGGAGAAAGAGTGAGAGAATGCGTGTGTTTCAAAACGTAACATAGTTTGCATATCTGTATTGGTTCAGAGTGGAGTGTCAGTGTTTTGCAAGCATACTTCACAAAACAAACTTAATTTGTACTGCTCTAGTTCTGAATACAGAATGAGTGATTTACAAAGCAAATCTAGTTTTACGAGTCAATGTTTCACTATGCAGCTGTAGGCTTAACTGTAGTTAAGAGTCAATAGTGAATGTCTCCCATAGCAAATTTAGTTTGCTCTGTTATATTCAGTGGTTTCCACAAAAGTTCATTACCATTATATATAAAAAGTCATTCATTATGTATGAATCGTGTATCGAACAAGTAAAGATAAAAATGGATAGAGAAACAGATCGATTGATTAATAGTTGAATCACTATATAAATTGAAACTATTTGGTAAATTTATCAACAACGGCATATTTGCGCTATCTGTTCCAGGGGATGGCAAATATGGTTTAAGTAAGAGTCCAAGATCATAAGCCATCGATTTCTGAGGCACTTAGATACTTAAAGTGGTCCATTATCATCAGGAATTACAGGCCAATCTAAAGAACAACATGATCATGTCAAAATCATCGATAAGGAGATTAGTGTTAACGAGAAATGACCCTGTCATTTGTTATCGAATTGACCACAAATAATGTCTATCAGGCAGATGAGCAGATAAATTGCAAAAACAAATTCAGAAATTTACTTTTATCGATGAAGACCAGTTTGGTCATACAAACAATAATTCTGTCAGACCTTTGGCTGAGATGTACCATAGCAAAGGATTAAGGATCCTATAATATTTTCAATATTTCTTTGAGAATCTATTCTTGTAACGGATGCAGCATTCAGTTGTTTAAATTTTCAAGAATGCTCTTTATGCAAATGTGCTTTTAATAAGCACGGCTGTTATTAGTCGAGTGGTCCTAGGAAAAGTTTAAGTTTTTGGACAAACCAAAATTAATCAGACAATCTTAATTAAACTTTTGGTTCAGGTGACTAGCTAAAGGATATGATATAAGCATATTTTACTCTATACATTTCAGCAATATATAATAACATAAATTACGAGTTTTCAACTCATTTGTTATAGGACTCAATGATAGAATGTTTTGAGGCATAGATAAAGAATGATTCGAAAATGTCTCGCCTTCGGTGTTCTCTCTCCCCCCCCCCCCCCCGAAAAAAACATATCCATGTTAGAATAAATTAAAATCAATTTCCGACCATGCAAAACTATTTTTTGGTACTGATGCATGATTTTACAGATGTTACTCAAAGTGTTTTCATCTTCAGGCTATATTTGGAATTGAACCATTCAAAACTAGAAGAATGGCGGGTATTTGTTACAACTCGAATGATTTTTGCTGTAAAACATCTTCAATTATTCAAAGCTTTGGAGCAGACATACATGAATGCCCTGTAGAACATTGACCATTCATTGTCAATAAAAGGATTTCATAATACGTATTTATGCAGAAAAATTACTTAGCTTTAATAACCTTTTTTCATGAAATGTCCAGGTTTGAAAATGTTGACATTTTTGACATCTTCAAAGTTTTCTCCCTTGAAATAAATATTTCCACAGTCCCTTTCATTTTAGTTCATGATCTTGCGAACAGAAAAACCTGGCTCTCTGTCCATCGTATAAATTATATTACGATTCTAAATTTTAATTAGTTCAGTAAGGTAGAAAACTCTGTAAGATTGTTCACCCTTAAGGTTCATTTATACTCTAATAAGAAAGATAACTCTTACTCGGATAAATGACTATTATTCCTTTAAAATCTTGTCAAACTATAGGCCTTTTCTGTCAAATTTTGCCCCGGATGGTATGCTGAAATTGTGTGCATTTTTAATTTTAGATTAGATTTCTTTTGAATTCTACCATCATATTTGACAAATATAGCAAATACATGTATATTGTGAAAGTCAAGGGGAAAAAAGCCCAATTTAAGCTTAAAATTAACACTATTTTAGTAACATCACAGACCCCCACTTTTAATTTTCTTTTCTGAATATATGAGATAATTTTAACCATTCGGCTTGAATTCAGAAAAAAATGTTATTACTTTCTAATGCTTTTACTGCCTGTTAAATTTTTAATGCCAGAAAAATAACATTTTTTGAGTGCAGGAAGGTCAAATAATTGATTATGCGAAGTAATTTGAAACTTTTTTGTAGTAACAAATTTTAATGTGACTATTCAAGATGAAAAAAAGACTGTGTTTGTTCCCATAATTTATTTGGATAAAAAATAGCATAGGAAAAAAAATGAAAAAAATTGATTTATGTGTTAGACGCAACTACAGTGCAAAAAGGTCATATTAAATGCTCCGTAGCACCAAAAGAAGTATATTGACCCCAATTTTTGTTTTGATTTTTAATTAAGCTATGTGTATATATTCTTAAAATATACTGGATAAAAAATTCTCATTACTTTTGATAACTGAAGGAGGCGGTTATGATCACGGTGATGCCAGTGATTCATTCCTCGGTGCCTATGGTCCAAGTAAACTCTTCTTACACATTTTATATTCAAACCAATATCATGCAAGCTTGAGACATCTTACTGAATTTTGGTTAAAATCTAATTTTTCTTAAGAAATGCAGTATGATAAGTTTACAATAAGCTTTCAGGTGCTGCAATTAAAAAAAAAAACAGGCTTTGTGACATTGTACTGTTCTTGAATTTTACATATTATCAACATATTTGACCTCTTGACCTTGGAGTTTGACCCACTTTTGCAAAAATTTACCCAACTTTAACCTTGGCCATAACTATTGAACAGTTGGTGCTAGGGCTTTCGTATTTCACATGTGTATTTGTCGTGACAAGACCTTATTTATGATCTTTTGACCTTGACCTTAGAGTTTGACCCACTTTTAAAAAACTTAAACCTTAGCCATAACTTTTGAAAAGTTGGTGCTGGGGCTTTCATAATTCATAAACTTGTGTATTCCTTGTGACAAAAATCTTTTCTCTGGATACCAAAATTTTTGACCTTGTGACCTTGACCTTGGAGATTGACATACTTTTGAATAACTTTAACCTTGGCCATTTCTGAATTGTTGGTTCTAGTGCTTTCATATTTCACATGTATATTCCTTGTGTCAAGACCTAGCTTTCATTGGATACAAATATTTTTGAACTTTTGTCGTTGACCTTGGGGTTTGACCTACTTTTGAAACACTAACCTCGGCAATAACTTCTGAATCGTTGATGCTAGGGCTGTCATATTTCACAAGAGTATTCCTTGTGACAAGGCCTTTCGTTGGATACCAACATTTTGACCTCTTGACTTTGATCCTGGAGTTTGACATACTTTTGAAATTCTTAAACTTTGACCATGGCCTTCATTATCGTGTTCCTGATTGAATTTCAATGTTTCAGACAATCAAGAAACCACGATGTGTACGAAAGAGGTTTCCTTCACAACTTTATAGTTCTTTAAAAGTAAATTGTACTATATATCCCAAAGTTTGTTGTTATCTTTATTGATTAGGCACACGGTCTGTTTTGTATTTTGTTTCTTTCTTTTTTTAACAATAAAAAAGGCATAATTTAAAACCTGGCCTGGCCTCTAATGTTGGCCTGGTCTCAAATTTGGCCTCTGTTAAAATTTTTGTCCTCAATTTTGGCCTCAACCAAAGTATTTTTTTTTTCAGAATTTGATCGATTTCATTGATTTTTTTGGTTTTAATTTTTCAAAGTAATAGCAAATAAATAATATATTTCTGTTGTTTTGTTAATGTGCACATTAAAATAATCATGTCAACCATCAATCTGATTGATTTTATTTATTATTTATTATTGATATCATTTTTTCTTAACATGTTACATGTACATGTATTTCTTTTAAGATTTGAAGACTTTTTTGTTGTTTGCAAACATTTTATCCTGACATACTACCGATGCTTTACTTGGAAATTGACCCCAAAAAGCCTTAGAGGTTATGTTGCATTTTCCAAAATTGTGCTGATCGATTGAAAGTTCTGTAGTAATAACCCAATTGATTGCATTGATATCAAATATCATGAAAAGCTTAAACAAATTCCCGCATCATCACTTTTCACACACTGCACTGTAGTGTTGAGTTACTAAAACAATTATGTTTAATATATGAGGTACAGGCATTTCAGAATTTCTACATATTAAAACACTACCATTAACCAATAAAATTCAGACATATTTTATTGCTCACATGTTTAAAATGTTCATACTTTCTCATTTGATTACTCTGTTAAAATTATATAAACAATTCTGAGATGGAATTTAGATCTTAAAAATAAATTAAAAAATATTCTTTAACCTTCAAAGAAAGGTGGGATGTGATCATGGTTCATCCTCGTAATGTCAAGGTTTTGTGATTTCGGAACTCCAGTTCCGAAATCACAAAACCTTGACATTGTGAGGATGATCATGGTTAAGTCTATTAACCATTCTATTGTAAATTAATTTCATCTGGATAATTTGTTGTCGTGTTGTTCAGCATGCTGAAGCTAGGGACTATCGAACATCAGGTGCAGATGGAATGTTTGAACAATTTTTCTGGCTATAAAGAGAACTTTAATCACACCTCTAAGAAACAAACGTTCCATAATAGCATCGTTTGTCCTGAAAGAGGATTGATTTTTTTTTTTTTTTAAATTCTTAGTCCCCCTCCTTCGATTCACCTTATATTTTGCCGATATGTGCTTCACATTGATTTGAAGAGAAAACGCATGTATGGTTGAAATGCCTCATTGTGGAATCTAATAATTTACTTAAATACTTGGGGGATCTAGCAACAGATCAGAATCAAAATATTCCTTAGATCTTGAAATAATTTTCTTTAATAGCACTTTCCTGATCTTGGCATTTGCTTGATATTTGGTTTTTTTTTATTTCTCTCTAGTATGGATTTAAATTTTCCTTTTACTTCCTAATACTAGTAACCATAAATTTAATTTTGATTCCATCAAGGAGTGGGGCAAATGGAAAAAAAAAATAAAGCAAAATCTCATGTGATTCCTATTCTAAGGCAAAAGACTAATTTTTAATCATTTAACATGTAAAATTACAATAGAAACTACGACTTATCCTGTTTTTCACGATTTAACATATACTTGTATCTGAAACTTCGAGAACTAATTTAAAAAAACCAACTCTTTATCATGAAACAAATTTCATTCACTCTCCTATTATTCATTAATATTGTTCATGTGTTTGCCTATACTGCATGCAACACTCATAATTCATTTGAATTGTATAGAACTTTAATTAAAATACTAGCTCCACATCAAAGCAACTTAAGGTAATTAAATAGGAAATGTTAATTTGTAATGAGATTCACGTTATAGAATTAATCATCCTGAGAATATCATTGTTCAATATTATACGTATACATCTTTCTAAAAAATGGATGTTGGGATTTTTGAAATTAAATGGTGTCCCTAAAGGTGTTAATTTCTGTTTTCAAAATTAAATTACACGTGTACATGCATTATACGTAGGATTTTCCAAAAAATAAATATTACTTTTGTTTTGTTAGGAAACTTGCTTACTGAGTAAAAATGAAGAATTAATAGAATAAATTTGTTTCTCTCATAATCCTTTAAGCAAATAAACAAATGAAAAAATAATTGTAGACAAATATTGGCTACTAGTATATATACATGTACTCTTCTTAGTGCCATTCGAAACAAAATATGTCTCTGATGCCATTTATTTGTTAGCTTATTCCTTTTTCTTCCTGCATTTTTTAAATCATGAAATAAATGCAAATTTGTTTTTAACTTATGGTCAAAATCTAAACTCTGCATGGTGTCAAAGTGGTGGTTTTTTTTTTTTTTTTTTTTTTTTTTTTTTTTTTTTTTTTTTTTTTTTATATATATATAAAAAAGGCTCCAAAAATTCACAGAGCCGCAAAAAAGCATCTCATCCATAAAAGTCTTAAATATACATGTACGAGTATTACATACAAGGCCTCTTCACAGCTGTGTGCTTAATAGCGGCCTTAATGTAATTTTGAGTCCCCTTTGCTCGCGTGGAAGAATGGAGCATGCAAAAATATACAGAAGCCAGAAAGACTTTTTCGACAAATTTCTGCGAACTGGGAAATTACAAACTGTTGATACTCAAACTTTACTATGAAGAGATAAATCGTTAAGCGATTTTGAGAATGAATACCTTTTTTCAATTGTAAAAACATTTAAGAAGTCGGGTGATTTTGGTTGATGCGGTAATTACTTTTTGCGAATTTTATCCAATTTGTGTGTTATACATGTATAATGTACATATCCTATATAATATTTCAGCCTCTGAATATTATGTTCTTCTGTGGTTATTCATTTTAAACTATGACCGAAATATGTTAATATGTTTGGTATAATTCACATGAAAGGGCGTATTAAGTTTGAAGAACTTTTGCCCGATCCTAGTTGCAAAATTTAAAGACAATAAAAATATGTTCAAACCAAGTCTATTCAAAATGAGAAAAAGATCTTTGAATAAACACCTTCATGTACATATGTGCTAGTATATAATGATATTAGTTGTTGTCTCGCTGTTTTGAAGAAGAAATGGTTTAAATTGTTTGATCGCCATGTTCCTCTGTACAAAAATAAAATAAAGCCGTTTTGTTTTCTTTCTATAACGCTACGTCTTGAACAATTTAAGGATACCTGCATACAATGTTCTAACTTTTTTTATTCTTAAAAAAGAAAGTAAACATAATGTAGTTAGAACCCATTATTTCCCAAAGTAATAAATTGAATTTTATCCCAAAGTCTATACACGAAAATCTTGAACAATTTAGAATTAACACTACAGAGATTGGCTTGCATATGAATTAACTTGCATTATTTTAACCACCAATACTTTGTACAAGTTTAGGTGAAATTAACTCTATCTGTCTGGATGATCATACATGAATAATGAGAGCGAATGTCAGAAATGTCTTTCTGATTCCTGCCATTAATTGCGACATGTGCGTAAGAAATCCTTTTAAATACCTATTGATTTTTAAAGAAAACAATTTTTCTAACCTTTAAACCCTCATTAATAATTAGCCAAGTCTACATAAATCTTTAATCAACCTCTTTGTTTCTAGAAACATAAAATGCTAAAATGTCAAGAAAGCAACAATTAATGTTTTTTTTACCCAAAGGATTTCCAAAACTGGTTTTACTAAAGAGAAAATAACATTTAGCAATCTGTTTTCTTCGGAGAAAAAAAAAATGCTTTCTTCATTGATAGAAGGCAATTTAAACATAGCAAAAGAATACCATTTGGTCAACAATGCAAACGCTGACGACGAATCTTTGGGAGAATTATAAGAAAATTATAGTGCCAGATGCTCGTGATGGATTTTTAACAAGTGCGTGTCCGCTTGAGCTTTTACAGAAAATTGATTGTTTTAGAGAGAGAGAGAGAAAGAGAGAGAGAGAGAGAAAGATTTACTTTTCTTGTAGAATCGTTAAATGAAGAGCTCTCCTATGTTTCTTCTCTAAATGTTTTACCGACTTGTCAATAACGTCCTTTGCAAGTCCCTCTGAACTCAGAATTTCACGAACTCTGGACGGCATCATAAAGTCTAGATCAAAGTCCTCCGTTCCTGTGTCCATGGTGCCCTCCCTCTGGAATTTGAGTTTTTCGATCCCTGATTGGTTATTAATCTGGATGTCGTCGTCATAGTAACTACAATCTTCTGGCCAATTTTCCTCGTTATAAGTTTCATTGGCCACTATGAACTGTTTCGGGGCATTGAACATTTCCACAACTTTAACCTTTGCCACCTTTCGGTTTTGGTTAAACAAATTCGTTCGTTTAAAATGGTCATATTTACCATAAGTCTGCATATTGTTTCAAACAAGTTTCATCAACGAAGAGTATGATAAAATACCTATACTTCAAAGTCTATCATGCATATTTTTGGATATTGATTTCCAGGTAACAACATGCTACACGGAACAGTTAGAAATCCGAAGCAGAAAGTAATAAATAATAGACAATGCTCCATCCTTCCAAACATCCGTTACTATATATTAAATTGAACTCATCATGCAAAGCTGTACGTTGTCAGACATTGATGGTCACACTTAAGTACTTCTTTAGTACCAAAGGAGTGACTGACAGATCAAAGGTGAGAGAAACGCTTTTTCCTGCCCACGTTTAAAACAATAGAAAGTCATATTGGTCTATGGGCATTCCTGATTGTCACGCTGTGTGAGACTCAGCTATAACTACTTCTAGAAGTTCATAATCTATGCTATGTTTGAAGATGAAAATTAACAAAATTACATGCATTGTAAATGAGTCAAGGGAAGCAAAATATTGATTGCATGTCATAGTTGAATCAAAGGCATGGTTAAGTTATAGTTAATTACAGTCTTAAATCAGGAAGCATCTCTTTTTAACTTACATGTTCAAAGACCTGGTTTGCATTTGCCAAATTAATCATTTATGCCTGTGCATTAGGAACATCTGGGTTATGGATCAGAAATTAAAAACATTTATTTTCTGAAAACCCTTTTCATTTGAAACTAATCAATACACAAAAGCAAGGCAAAATACCAGTTAATTCAACATAAAAGCAAGTTGCCTTATCACTAACGAAACATTGCAAAGTCGTTATATACAATAGATAACCTTATTTGTTTTTTTCATGCAGTTGAAAAAGGTAGAAATCTGACGTGGTTTAAAAAAATGCAATGCAATTTATTTTGAATTGATATATAATTTATACAAAGTTAGAATGCTGCATGGAATTTGCCAAGTTTTGACTTCAAACCCTTTTTTCACATTCAATGTCGTTCAATTTATCTACTTATATTAAAGGACTCTCTGTGTCTTTTTCAGAAAAAAAAAACAAAACAAAACAAAACAAAAACTGTCAGCACTCTCAAATATGACAGAGAGCAAAACTCTTAATAAAATTGTGCGGATACTTCACTGGGTGTATAAGAATCTGTAGACGTCGCACTGGTGGCTGTTGTTGCTACATATCCATCTTGGTTTGTCACTTATTCTGGTGGGAAAAAGCTTCATGAAAATACATTCTTCCTTATGTGTCTCTTTTATGATTTTTTGACAATTTCATAGATCAACTAAATGTTGTTGGAATAAAGCGAGAGGAAATGGACTTTTAAATAGACATATTCTGAAATGACAAGCAACTTTACGATTTGTATCAACACAGAACAAAATATTATGTTTTCCATAACGAATTTTCAAACAAGAAAAATTTAGTTTCGTTTAATACTTTTACGAAATTATTCGTAAAGAATCATTTATGGAAAACCAAATCAACAAAAAACAAACAAACAAACAAACTAAAATGAAAGAATATATAAAACATATTGATCAAAAATTAACTGGCTAGTTTTTTCCCGGGGGGGGGGGGGGTGTAACAAAATATAGATGACCATTATCAAAGTAATACTATATCGTGTGTTCCACTGTATATGTAACACCATACATCTCAAAAACCTAGAAAAGTATTTCTTATTTTAAACTATTACAAACATTCCTCCTGCCATTATTGAATCTACCATGCCCTAATACCGTGGTCAACATGTGACGTACTTAGCGTGTTTGACCTTACATACATTCTTTCTTCCTCTTGGTTTCTCAAATAGAGATTTTATTTTGCATGATTTGCATGATTTTTTTTTAAGAAAAGGAGGTATATTTAGAGCTCAAAATAATTATATATTATTGGCTTCTTGTGCCGATGAAATTCCTTTAGCACAAGGTTTAAGCAGGTTGTATTATTTTTGTGTAAATAAGAAAAAACCTCTCTATTTAAAGGTTGATCATCTTTCGTCTATTCAATATATAATTATATGAATAAATAAATAAATAAATGAAGATAGATAGATAGATAGATAGATAGATAGATAGATATGCTGCTGCATTAGAACAGGAACTTAATTTCATTGGCTTGCTGTCCAAACAAAATAAAAATCTGTATAAAAACTGATTGAATTGAATGGTCATATTAGAATCTTGTATTCAATGAAAATATAATTTTCCATGTATTTCTACACATAAATAGTTAAATAATTGATACTTAATTTCACTACTAGTACTTTTCATTTTTTAAGCGATTCCAGCAGTGTGAATGTGCTCCATAGCTTACCTTTTGTTTTTAAGTTTCGGTAAACGTATTGTTTTGCTACATTTATGTTCATCTTTCTGAAACTGGTGACTGAAAAAAAAATAAGCCAGATTGAAATTTGATGTTAGATTTGTTCCTTTTGAAATGTTGGTAATATGAATGAATGAATCGTGAAACTAAAGTGGTAGTCGTGAATTCGAAAGTAAACCTACCATTTAGCTCCGATCAGGTTAACTGAGAAGTTTTCTTTGGGTTGTTGAAAGTACGCTAAATCTATTATCCGATTCAATGACCGAAGTCTTCGCTCTCCAAGAAAGGCTTGCATTGGTCATGTTTTGATTTTCATCGATGATTTCATTTAATTTTTAGTCTCTTCCCTGTGCTTTGTAACACTCTTGAAAATCTCTTTCAGATCCTCCACTTTGAATAAGGTACTGCCAACACGCTATAGTTGTCTATAGTCATAGTCCTTGACATTAGAGAATAAAAATTTAGAATAAGCAAGGAAATGGGAAAAAAAAAACCAGTTTTCATTGGTGGCCCTGCTGGTCATTCATAAAAGGATAAAAGCACACAGTTTTCCCATTGCCAGGTGCTTGTGTGTGTTTATGGTAGCTTTGCATGACTAGAAATTTTCCGATTAATTGAATGAAATCAAACATAAAAACCCTCATACCTTTCATTTGGAATTTGGGAAAGAATTCCTCAGGAATTTTTATTAAAGATGCGGAGTTGGAAATAATTTCCGATCTTATTATGATCACTTGGTAGATTGAAGGAAAAACAATGCCATAAAAAGCAGACATAAAATAGATTCGTCTTCCGTCATGTTTATGAGACCGTGAACAACACGATAAAAAGGTGTAATCAAATATAGGCTTCTGTGTCATAAAAATCCTATTAGTGTTTAATACCAATTTTATGAACAATAAACAACATCAATTAGATAAATGAAAGATTTATACACTGTTTTTGGATTGAAAGATATCTTTTGCAGGGTCGAATCTTGGCTCTTGAGAAGAAGGGGCTCAAAGTACCGCAGCAATACCCCTTACTAGATCATCTGATCTGAAAACTCGTGAGCTTTACTGGTCAAATTTTGTCTGTCGTTGTTGCAATTGCCGTTAACATTTTACACTTTCGACTACTTCTATAGAACTGTTGGACAAAGACAAATTTCAACCAAACTTGTCAAAAACATTCCTTGGGTGGAGGGAATTCAAATTTGTTTAAATGAGGAGCCTCTTTATGAAGTGTAGATTCAAGTTTGTTCAAATCGTGGCCCCCGGGTTAGTGTGGAGCATACTTAGTATTACAGGGTCAATGTACGTCGGAAAAAATATTTCAAAAGCTTCTCAAGAACAGAAATACAATTAGTTAGTTCTATTAGTAAACAAACGCCCCTAGTTGGGTATGTAGTGGAGATTCAAGTTTGTTCAAATCATGACCTCTGGGGCAAGGATGAGGTCACAATATGGAGCCAAAGTTTTATATGGGATTATGTCGAGAAAAACCTATAAAAATCTTCATTTGAAGAACCTCTAAACCAGAAAAGAGAAAACTTACGGAAACACTTTCTTATTAAATGTAATATTAAAAGCCATGGTCCCCTTGGCTAGAATGGGGTCGAAGTTTTCAAACACGTCACAGAACTTACCACATTTATATCATACTTTGATGTTTTACTGACTAAAGAAATAGAAAACTAACAACTAAACTGTATAACAAACGGGATGATTTTAGCTTTTCCATCGTTACATGTTAATGTCTCTCAACTGATTCAGTACGCAAAGGTATGTTCTGAGTACGATCAATTTTAAAAACCGAAGCAGGCTACTCACAAATAAGTTGCTGTAACAGGGCTTTTTGTCTCGTTTAAGGTCAGACGACACGTTCCTCAATAATATATAATTTTTCGTAATAATTTGTTTCGGAAGTATTTTTCCTTTAACAAGTTTCCTCGCAAAAAATTGAGGTACCGTACAAGGGATTTATGGAAGGTATCGGAGGTTTCCTATCTAATCCTTTTGGAAATAATTTGAATTGCTTATATTACAGATTTTTAGTCTTTATTTTTTAAAAGATATTTTAAAAACAGTTTAGAAATGGCGAGATAACAATGATTATAAATATTTTTGGTAAATTACAAAGAGACACATAAGCAGATATTTGAGGAACATGTTGTCTGACCTTAATTAATGACAGCATTTCGAAATATTTACGGTTGTTAAAATGACCTAATTTGCAAATAAGATCTATCTTTGGATTGAATTTTGACAGAAATTTCATACCAATTGTTAGGCCATTGTTTTATACTACTTTTGACTTCGGGTTGTTCCGTTTTCTTGATCCTGATCCAATCTTTGGTGTTTCCAGGAATCCGTGTTAATGTCCTGTTCACGATTTACGATTTGTATTGGTTATAGGAGTCTTGATGAAAGTTTTCTTAAATTTGGATAAGTAGTTTTGGGGACATGCAGTCAACATTTACAGTTAGTGATCATAAAACAACTTATATATATATATTCACCAGAATACCAATGTTAATGCGGCATATAAACGTAAAATTTGGAACTATAAGCATGCAGATTTAGAACTCCTTAATGATTTAATCCTACAATGCGACTGGAATAGCCTTATTGATGCTACAGAAAACATTATTACTGCAACAGCAAACTTCACGGAAAAGTTTAATTCTATTATTCACCAATGCGTACCCGAAAAAACTGTAACCATAAGGCCAAATGATAAACCATGGATGGA